CTTCAGGAGGGCCTTAAAAATGCACTGGCACCTCTGACATGCTAAATGGCATCCAGAAGAGGAGAATTTAAGTATTTTGCTTTCTGAATGGGCTCTGTATTTACAGATCTCCTGTTCTTACTGCTTATGGATAATAAGGAACAGGTTCTTTGTAACAGCATGGAGAAACGCAGCTTGAGCGGTGTGAGCAGCTGCCTTCCCCATGTGTTTCCCACCTGCTCCTTGGAAATCACCCTATTTCCATGCTTTTTTAAGCCTTTGGTGTGGAAGAGAAGAATAGGAAGCTTTTCTTTAGCAGAAACCCAGCATAAAGCCCATCTTCACTGTGCGACTCAATAGCATCTCTCAAAGAAGGTGCTGGCCTGCAGCAAGGGAAAAATAAGGGAAAAAACCCAGAGAATACGTCATTCATAAAGGTAACATCTACAAAAAAGAGATAAATGGCTATACTTATTGTTATTTAATTCTAAACAGTAGTGTACAAGGTTAGAGGGTTCTTCCAAATTAAGATTTGAAAAAGGTATTGCATGCAGGAGTGCTCTCCAGCCACAATTTTGCAGTGTGCAGCAATTGCAAAAACGCTCCAGTTGCCAAAACTGTGCCCCCATTGCAAAAATGCTGCTGGCCATTTGCAAAAGGCAGCAAGTAAAACGTGAGCTCTGAGTCGCTTCCTTCCACCACGTTCATGTCTCTCAGAGGCCACGAGCAGCAGCTCTTAAATCTCGTCCCCGACACGCGGCGATAATCTGCTGAATACATGAGCAAGCTCCAATAGCAGATGCACTCCATCCACATCCGAGCTCACCCCCGTAACTATAAATATCTTTTATAGGTATAAACATGGGTTATCCAGCAGCTCCTGTTCTATAGGAAGCCTGATGAGATGATGGTGAGTGATAAATAACAGCGTGCGCGTGGCTGATTGTAGCACCGATTCATTTGCTACAGGTCCGCAGTATTTCATGGATATAGCAGGCTGCAGGAGAAGCGAGACTGCATGAAAAGCGTTGGGCTGAGGTCCTTGGGATGTCTTGGCCTCCTCAAGCTGCTTGAAGAGGATGGTTTCACGTTGTGAGTTGCTGGAGGAAAAGGTAAGTCGCCCTCCCCTGCCTCTGTTGATGCTTAGGGCAAATTTAGTTGCTTTGCACGGCTAGAACTGTACCACTGTACCACTGCAAATAAAATAAAAATAAAAAGAAGAATGATGTTTGTTCAAGATTTTCCAAAGAGAAAAACACTGCTAATATGTTAATGGCTCCGAGACTCAAATTATGAGGCTACTATAAACAGAGAAAACCCTCTAGACCGAAAAAGTGATTCCAGCCCTGTAAATCCAACAACATGTCTCAGCTAGCTCAATATTTTAGGACATTGTGTTGTATTTGGAGGAATTTTTAATTCTGCTGCAGATAGTTATTTTCAAGCCCCTGGGCAGGCAGGAGTCTCTGGAGGCCTGAGTTGCATTTATTACAACCTCTTTAAGGGACTTCTCTGATGCTAGGCTCTAGCACGAGAAGAGTAAATTAATCATGAATAGACAGTACAATTCCCTCTCCAGAGTCCTCTGGTCAAATTAATATAATCAATATAGCACAAACTGTCAAGTGCTTTCTCATATTTATGCCACTTTTATAGCTTTTACCTCTATGACAAAATAGACCCACTAGAATGTGGCCACACTGTATTATATGGTCACATCTAAAGAATGTGAAAAAGATTTGCAAGAACCTCCAGCTTTACTGACTTTGTATTTCCTAGTTATAAAGTCTGCAGCTCTATACTGGATACTCGTAAGAAATATAAAATGTATGAGACGTTTATGAGCTACATATATAATACTGGGAAGGGTGTGTGTAAGAAGCTCAGCCTTGTGTTTGGACAAGCCAGGGAGCAAGAACTTGATTCTGCAAGGTGGGATTGACGAGAACTGTTGGCTATCAACTTCCAAGTGTCCAGACCCTGTCTTGGTAGCAATGTGATGAAGACATGGACCTTTTCCTCCTTCCAGCCATGCATCATCATCAACGTGAAGGAGCAGGAGGAGGAGGAGAAATGTTCTAGGCTTAATGGCAGCAAAAGTCGCTGAGTTTAGTCCAAGTCCATTAAAAAGATCTCCAAGATGCTGTGCCTACAGGGACCCAACACGAGGGCTTGAGCAGTAGCCAAGCCACAGAGGATGCCAAGAGCCTGTCGGCTGGACAAAAGTGATTTATGTGGAAAGTTTGCTGATCGGACTGCTGGAAGAAGATGATCCTACTGATTTCACGTAGGGAAGAGCTACCAGGGTGCTGACGTGCCTCATTCGAGCATCTGAACCAATTTATGTTGTTCAGACTAATGGCTAAGTGCTGTAATCTGCTTAAACCAGAGAACAGATTGAAATCCTCAGCAACGATACAATTAATGCTCTTCCCCAAGCATTACCATATTTGATGGAGTTAGTTTCCCATGATTTAGGCAAAAGAAAAAGCCTTTTGACATTAGATTCTCAAAGCCTTAAGATGCAGAGCAGAGGCTGACATGTGAAAAGCAATTAGAGGGTGATTCATTAATCTTGCACAGAGCAGTGGACGGCTCGCGGCTGGGTAGGATTAAAAATAGAGGGAAGAAATTAGCATCCTTTTTGTGCTACCGTGGCATGCGGTGCCAACCACTATCCTGCTTTTCTCGACTACTTTAATATTCATGTTTAATAAACCGGGAGCCTTTCAGATCCTGCAGTAGCAGAGGTGGTGTCTCTTTCCATGTAGACAGATTTTCATATTAGGGTGCTTTCTTGCTCGCTATCATGGGGTTTACATTTTTATTTTTTAAACCTAATCGGCTTTATGCATTGTCAAGGGATAACACAGGTTATGCAGAATAAAGAAAGTATCTTCAGAAACTCGGATTAGCTCTGGCTCTGTGCTTTGCTTTCTCTTCCAGTTTTCTGATGGCACGTGTCCCTTTGTGGGCTTGAAAAGCATCCCACTGTCTCTGTCTTGCTCCGAAGGGAGCACTGATTTAGTCTACGTAGACCTTCTCGTGCATCAACAGTCACGAGCTGATGAGCTGCACATCATCATCAGATGAGTTTAGCAGATTTCCATGTAGAGGTCCTTCAGACCTGCAAGCACATCCTTGAAGCAACCTGAAGGTAGTTTCTTTAGCTGTTACCATCCAAAGCATTTCCTCCTCAAAATAACTCCTTTTGCCCACTCTGTGTACAGGTAGGGTTGTGCAAAGCAGCTCGAGTGGGCTTCCCAACTGACAAATGCCCATTAATCTTGTAATGAATTTCTCAAATGGTAACAGAAAACAACCTCAGATCTCCACGACCACTCATTTATTTTGTGTGCTAATGAGATCAAGGGGACAATTCTTGCAGCCTTTAGAAAACTCAAGTAATGGACTAGAATTGGTGTCTTAAATTGCATGGAAACGACATTAAAAAAGTCACTTTGGCTGGGGTGAAGATGAGATCAAAGGAGAAAAAACCAAATGAAAACAAATAGCAGACTAAAGCCCATCCTTTTAGGACACAATCCTTGTTTTTGTTCTGTGTTTACACATGCTGTCCCCCTGGCTGAGGAAACCGGCTCCGAATAACAAGCACAAGCGCAGGGGAGCTGATACCGTTCCGTGCGCTGATAATATAGTTAAAAACAAACACAAAGCGGATTGGGAAATGCCGAGGCCATCTGCGGGTTAATCGGATTAGCGGCTGGAGCGATGGGATTAGCAGCGGCGCCTCCATCGGCGCGGATCGGATCCGGAAAGGCCGGAGCTCTTCCCAGTGCCGCTTCCGAGCCGAGCTCCGCTGTAATTGCAGGCCCTGGGAATTCTCACGCAGGGACAGAGCCAAGACGAACAAAAGAATTACAAACCCAATGTAAGCTATTAAACAGAAAATAGCGGCTTGTTAGATAGTTGGCTTTCTTTGTGTGGGTATGGGTGGCAAGCTGATAAAAGCTTTTTCTTGCTTGGCTTTTGCTGGCTCCCGCTCTCGTTCCTGGCCACACGCAGTTCTTTTGTGGTTAGCAGTTGCTGCCCCGAAACACATCCCTGCGAGCTGCATGTTGCCACCACAATGACAGCGGCTGGCAGAAAGCGTGGCCCAGAAAATACGGGAAGCTGCTGCCGTAATTCAGATCGGAGGCGGGATTTAATGGCAAGTATTAAACATCATGCAAGTCTGGCTGTGCTGGGGCTTTTGGAGACCAAGCTCTGGGTTGGCACGAGCCAGGAGAGCTTGGTTAGATGGTGACCAGCCCAATGGACAGTTTTGCATAAGAGCTCTCCCGCCAGCCTAAAAGCCATTTACTGTTTCCTCTGCCATCTATATGGCTGGGTCTGCTGTATATTGCTTGGCAGGTGAATGGCTTTCTCCCTCTGTAATATTTGGGGTTGGCCATTCTATATTGAACCAAGAATATTGAGCCTGTCTTCTGGGGGAACATACATATGTATATTACATAGAAATTATAAGGAATTGATGATGTATGTAATGAATTGATTAATTTGATTATTCATTATTTATCTAGGAATTTGAATTAATCCTCAGTATATGCCTTAGTTTAGTTAAGAAAGGGTCTGCAATTAGAAACTTATGTGGTTGATTGTCTTCTTTTCTAAATGAGATCCTCTAAGCCTGAGAAGTTACAGGAGTAAATAAAAGCAGCCACATGAATGTTTTTGAAAAAAATGTTCACATCTTTGGTGGACCTACATGGCAAATATAACTGATTGGCCAATGTAGAAGCTGCTCAGGAAGAAAAAAAATCTGTGTTTGTCAGAATGGGGAGAAAAAAGGGGTTTTCTACTATTAGGCATAGTCAACTCATAGGATTTGTTCCACCAAGTTCAGGCTTCCCTTGGAAAGGTTATTCATTTTCCCACATTTTCTTTTTTTCACTTCCCAAACAGGCTTGTGCCATAGTGGAAGAGGGACGTGGGCTGGTGTTGAGTCTCAGATGGCCGGTTTATGACCTTCTCTCCAGTCTCCATCACCGAGGAGAGAAGTTTCTGCCTCTTCTCCACGATGTGCTCTGACATCTCTCCCAGAGAGAAAGTGAGGTGAGCAGTAGCCTTAGGACTTGGTCTGCCTGCCTTTCTGCTCCTCTCCTGCACAGGATGAAACTGTGAACAAAACCATCAGCTTCATGAAATCCAGACTGTCTTCTTTTTTTTTTCTGAGCAGTGCAAAGTGAACACATTGCTAAGTGTTATTCTCTCATAAGAGGCCTTTTGAAAAGCATTTAATGAAGTAAAATTTGAAAACTGACAGAGTAGTGGTTGAATGTTGCCCTTTTTTTTCATTTAAAATATACCTTCATTTTCTTTCTTACCACTAGCTTGTGTCCGTACATCATTTTGCCTTGCTGTTCTAGGATAGGAATAGCTGCGTGCAACCCTGCGAGGTGCTCTCATTATTTTTGCCTTGCTATTGCACAATTTGAGATACATTGTATCCAAGACACTATATAAAAAAAAGCAAATTAAAACTGAATTGCAGCAGAGCTCCTAAAAGAATTCATTGCACTTTGCAGAGTTTACTCCTAAGTACGCCATGTGGCTCGAACGGACAATTAAATGCAAAGAATTAGTATTAATGTGCTGGCTTGGAATAATTGTTGAATATGTATTTATGTACGCCTCATTCAGTATGTTAATTGCAAATAATACTAGTGATTTGCACTTGTCCAGAATGCCTCGGCAAGGGAGAAATCATTTTGCTGAGGAAATTCACTTCCCCTGCATGCTTGAGTGGAATAATAGTTTCTTCTAGGTACGCTATTCGGGAATGGATAGGTTGGCTAGGCGATAGCTTCCGAGGCAAGCACTCTTTTTGTGGCAGTGGATGTATGTTTTCATATCCCTATCTCTTATGGGGGAACTGAAGAGCTGAAGAAGGAGCACCCCTGACATGCTGCTCTTCTCAGAGTGCAGTTTTGCAGCTGTGCACCCTCTCTGGGTGCACCCTCACTGGGGGCATTTAGAAAACTCAAAAGATTTTTTCATTTTTTGATACTCCATTGATCCCAGTGCTAAAAAACCTGAAATTTTACACTGCTACTGACGCATCCCCCCAAACCTACTTGTACAGTCAAACTTGCTTTTCCCCTATGAGAAGTGGTATATTTTATTTTAATGATTTCTCCGCTGTACTTTCTGCTCTCGTCTTTAGGAAATGGCTAATGACCTGGTGCTGTGAAGTGCTAATGAGCCTTCCACGCACGGCAGCTGCTGGAGTCGAGGTGGCCTTGCAGGAAGGGCTGAAGAATAGATATTCCCCCTCAAAGTAATGTAAAACTCTGCAGAATTACCAGTTCTCCTGCGACTTAAGTCGGGGAGAATTGAAGCTTTAGAAGATGTAAAGGATGGGCAGATGAAATAGCTGATAGTTTTTGATCAGTAGGAACTAAAGCCTCATATCTCTGACAGAGTCCAGGTGAACTATCACATGTGCTCTCGACTGAAGAAACTACAAGCTTAGCCTGTGCCCATCTCGGAACCTACTTCTGGACAGAAAATGAACATGAGAATTTTTCAGCAACAGGTTAGCAATACGGAGATTTAAACTGTAATTAAGATTTGATGTCAAGGTCTTTGTCATGTTCATTTTTAGTTCTTCTTGCCTGTCTGGAATACAAGAGAAAAAGATTCCCCATTTTCCCTTGGCTTATGTGAGCATTTCTGTCTTGCTAGTAAGACCTTGAGGACTAACTACCTTTAGATAATCATATATTTTAAGGAGCTTAATTCTGTCATGCCTGCTGCCATGTCCTAGATGCGCTCTTTGAGGTTCCTCAGCCTTTCATTTTAGCTTCTTTTTACCTTTTAGCATGAATTTGAGCTTTTCCAACCTAAAATTTTACTGTAGTTTAATTGCAGGTGGAATCTAGCTGGACAAATGGGTTAATCCTCAGAATCTGCCATGCTTCAGCATTGCATCCTGGCACTGTATAATTTCTGCCACGTTTGAGTGCCCAAGCACTGGGAGGTCATTGGCAAGGAAAGCTTCTCAGTACATCTTCACATGGGGTCCAGTGAAGCATATTTTCAGGTAAATAAGATGAATCCAAAGATGTGGCACATTGATTTATTCTAAGACCTGCTACACGTATTTATAACCTTAGTATAGACTCTAGAAAGGAGGGCAGAATGCACTGACCTTTCTTTCAATTTTGCATATATAATAAGTGATCTCTGCTTTACTTCTCTTTCAACTTGATATTTAAACTTCTAGAGGGCAGAAAAAAAAAAAAAAAGAAGAAAAAATTGTCCTTATTTCTCTTCTGTAATCAGAAAGAATTTTCAAGACAACATTTATGACCTTGAAAAGAAGTATTCTAGTAAGACCTATATCTATCACAGTGGGCTCAGAGGAGTGTAATGAGGGAGAAAAACATATGGGTTTTATTACTGGAATAATTATTCACGAGGGATAGTCTCAGGGGATTTACTGGATACAGACCTTTTATTAAAAGAAAATTGATATTTGATCTATTCCAAGGAATTGAATGCTGCAAAGCAAGAGCAATCTGTTCACCCCTGAACTCAAATATTGGTTGAAAAGAAACAGGTCTGCTGGTTTGAAAAGTTCCTCTCTGAGCAGTACTAAATTCTGGCATTTTCATCGGGAGTTACCAAATCTTCTATGGGGAAAGAGCGACATGAAACCCTTTTTGAGGGGGGTTTTTGAGGGGGGGGGGGTTTGAGGGGGCAGAACGGGGCTTAATGGCTAATTATGTAGATTAAAACATTACTTTTAATCATTAGAGTAAACATTTAGTAGCTATCGCTAATTTAGCATTTAGCGGTTTTCCCCAAGAAATGGGATGAAAAATGGTTTAGATAGCATTGCCATAATAACGTTATAAACAGTATGCCTGCCTTTGGAAGTCTTCTGTCCACCTCAAGACCTACTCCAGGGATATAAAAGACGTATGGAGATATGGCTTATCAGAGAAAGTTATCTTCTCTATCTGTCCATCAGTGCATGGCCCACTGAGATGCTCGTGAACCAGCTTCCAAACCTCCCCATTTTACCACAGAGCAGCAATTTAAAGTCAACCGTTTCCTTTGCCAACCTCTAACCTTTCCGCTTGTCAGTCAGATTTTTCAAGCTGAGGGTGAGCACAGGAAATTGCCACGTGAAGCAAGATTGAAAAGATCAAGACTCCTTGCTTGGCAAGGAGTGACACAAGTGACAAATGAAGGGGAACACAACACAAATATATGCGGGAGGGGACACAGATTTTACCCTTTCTGACAACAGAATGAGCAAAGATCGTGTGATGACAAGGCCAGGCTGCTACCACAGAGAGAGGAAAGGAAACGATGCAGGAGGCAATGGAGCTTGCTGGGCCTACACGTTTTGGGGGCCTAAGAGATTCAGGAGACAAGGCTGGAAACGTATATTTGAAAACATTGTTCCTAAATTGACAGAATCATGGGACAGTTGAGGTTGGGAGGGACCTCTGGAGATTGTCTAGTCTGGATGATGCGAGTTGGTGACTCATCGTGATGAATCACGATGCGAGATGGGAGAGCATCATGATTCAAGAAGAATAATGATCTAGATCAGCCTCAGCCTGTTCAGGGCTTTGAGGGTTTTTCCTTGCACCTTTTTACTTTGGATTAACCCCAGTGCACCAGGTAGATGTTCGCTCTGGGAAGTGGAGACTGTGAATTGAAAATTTGTGACTTTTGGCCAACTAATTTGTGAATGATGGCCAACTGCTATGAAAACGGAGAGATTTGGTGTATCTGAGAGGAGATTAAAAAAAAAAAAAAAAAAAAAAAAGAAAATGTATGAGATCCTTCAAATTTTTCATCCTTTCTTTATCTTTCATATTGGCTTTTCTCTTGGGGTGAATGCTTGTGCCTTGGCTCCGAGTGACAAGGACACTTCTTTTTTTTTGGCCTCCTCTCCCTTTCATGATGTGAAAAGATGTCTTTATGACGATACTTTTGCTTTATGGCTCCCTGAACGTTACATTTTGATGCTGCTGCAGTAAAATTAGAGGATGTGATGAAGTTAAGTGTCGAATATACTACTGAAGTATCATTAAAAAAAAAAAAAAAAGCTCATAAAACACTGTCTTGATAGAGAATTTACTGGAAACTTGAGGAGTGGGAGAAGCAGAGGAAAATGTTTTGGTTTTTGCTTATATGATTTGGTTTGTTGAAGCTTGGTTAAATTGGTATAACTCCTAGACTGGTCTCATGGGGTTTAGAATATTACTTTTCTTATGCAGACTGTCTCTCAAAAGAAACAGAAATCTTGAAAATTATGGAGTTCAGTTCAGACCAGAGGAATAATGAAAAGCTCAAATTTTAGATTGCTACTAAACATTCACTGTGCAGTTCCCACTATGTGAGAGTAAAATTCACAGATCTTGTCCATCTAAATTTTATTTAAGGTCTTTGCCACCAAAAAAAAAAAAAAAAAAAAAAAAAAAAAAAAAAAAAAAAAAAAGAGGGGGATGGCTTTAGAAATTCTGAATATCCAACATCTGGATATTTACATCCATTTATAAAATTTACAATTTCAAAATGATCTGCACATCAGTAAACTCAGATTTTAATGAACTTAATGCTTAGCTCTTTCCTGAACATTATCTGTATTCATTCAAGTAGTTGGAATTTAAGTAATGGGATCTAAACTTGGTTGTGGTGGGAGATGTGTTGAATCCTGTGGATTTTGGTATTTTCATAGCTATTATTTCTTAACTTTGTACCATTTCCTAACTTGGTATCTAGATGGAGAGCGAGAAATAGATAGAAGAAAATGTAGGTGTTGAGCTGGGAGAAAAGAGGAGGAAAGGAGAAAGTTTTTTTACATCTGAGACTATGGTCTAAAGTTTTAGGTGGTGAGTGATCTTGTCTACCAAGCTGATGTCAAAGTTGCTGTAGATACTGTGATTTCTTGCCTGTATTTAAATACTTCAGATGGACAACTTGTAAAAAATCAGCTCGGTTAATTGTGATTAGCTGCATTGATCCTCATGTGTGGATGCATTGGTTGCTTCCTTATTCAGTCTCTGTTTATTGGCCAATGTCATTTAAAATTCTTGGAGATTTAACTTGTTTGTTTCACAGCCTGATTTTAAAGAAAAACAGAACTAGGAAAATAAGGGATTAATCTTCATCAAATGTGCTAAGCATTAAGATTCTCAGTATTCCTTTAGTTTGATATTTAGAGAACAATTTTATTGAAGGCTTGAACCGTAAAAATCAGGTTTGTTTCCTCAGTATGACACAAGGATAGAAGCAAAATGTTCTGAGGTTACAGAACAAATTTTGGATCCTGACCCCATTGATCCCCTCTGCATTTCTCCCTTATTTGCACTGCTGCAATTCTATAAGATATTCTGGGAACACTCCTGTTTAATGCTAAGCTGAAAGCAGACGTTGCATGGCCTGCTCAACTGACACGTCTGTCTAAATAATTAAAAGGATTGTCCATTAAATACTTGCAGCCTCGTGATCCATTTCCCAGTCATGAGAGTCAATCATTCAGGAGGTCGGCTCAACCTTTCCTGCATTTACTTTTCTATAAATTAACATCTGGCCATAAAAAAAGGTATTGCTGTCAAAGTTAAGATTCTTTAATGTGCTAGTGAAGATAGAAAGTATTGCCTGCCAATATAAAAAGAAATTTCCAGGAAAATAGACTTTCACATCTCTACCCCAGGCCAGGTTCACTTTATATTCACTGGCATTGATTTGTGAGAAAAACGTGGGATGGCAGGAATTGTCTGTCTGTAGGGATCATGAGCTTTCTTCCAGCTGCAACCAAACAAAGTTGAGACTTGGAAAACCTGAACCTATTTTTACAATTCCACAAATTAATTTTAGCTAGCGCCCCATTTTCCTACTCTGTCTGTCTGTGGAGAGGAAGCAGGGATGTCCCTCATCTTCAGCACGCTTCGTCCCACGTCATGCTGCCATACAGCATTGCAATGGTGACCATCACATGTGGACTTACCCTCTAATTACTGTGAGATGCTTGCCAAAATGTTGCATTATTGTTAGTTTGGCAAAACACAGGGCTCCTGGGAGCTACTGCAAATAAAAGGGTCAGCCCTCGGTCTCCTAAGCCCTTTTGCTGCAATTGCTTTATTATTTATTTATTTATTCTATTTTATATATTTTGCTTTGAAATGTTCCTGGTAAACTCTGGTTTAGACTTGGGTATCTCAAATACGTTTCTTCTGCTTTCAGATAATTTCAGCTCCTCTCTATTTAATGGCTTTTTTTTATGCTGTGAAATAAACACATTGAGGTAAGAAAAAGGTCATTGATTTTTTCCTGCCAAACAGTAAACGAAGGCGCGGGGCCTTAATGACTACTTATGTATGTATTAGAAATATGCTGACTCAAACCTTCTTAATAAACAAGCTCTGTGGGGACCATTTTAACGAGAAACTGAGGGAAGATCTTAGTGCAGGTACACATTATCTAGTATATCTTTTTTATATGAAACCGTTTGCAGATATGCAGTCAAAAAGCTGCTGAAGAACAACCACCCGTTCAGATGTTACCGTGTTCCTTTGCCTTTGCTGCCACTTGTCAAGCTGGAAATTAGGAATGCTCCTTTTCCCGGAGGTAAAAAAAAAAAAAAAACAAATAAAAAACGTGCTTTTCCCTTAATCTCTTTGAAGTGATTCTTCAACGTTTTAAAACGCTGTTTGTTGTTGCTGTAATTTTATGGTTTAGCATCGGCATGCATTTAAATAGCCTAATTCAGCTGCGCCGTTTCCCGCTCTGCATTTTTCCACTTAGATCTGGCATCCCGAGGAGTCCCCTGCAGTGGGGAAAACCTCCCTCCACGAAGCTCCAGGAAGAGGGACACCACGGAGTGCTCTTTTCAACAGCAATGTGCAACTGAGGGCCATAAATGGCCTCTGGATCTCCCACCAAGCCCCACGTTGGTCACCTTCCTCTCTCCAACTTGAGGGTAAAATCAGAGCAACCTCCAGCAGATGTTGTGCTAATAGGTATTGAAGGAAGCAGCATGAAGAAAGCAAATGAACCTTGGGGGAGAATGGCTTATCTTCTGCAGTGTGCCACCTGTTGCCCCTTAATTTGTGATGTCTTTACCCGTTTGGGCTTTAAAGAGAGTCAATGAAATGAGGCTATGGGATAGGTGCTGTTGAGGTGCTCTAGTTGGGTTGCTGGAAAGGTATATGAGTATGAAAATGGATTTGAGGTACTCTTGCAAACAAAATGAGTTTTTGTGAAATAGGAGTTTTACGGAGAATCTAAATTGCAATGAACCCTAAAGCTCTGAAGGATGTTTTTGTTCTTTTAGGTTGCACCATATTCTAACCCCCAGATCTTTAAAGCTACAAGTCTCCATCCCTGAAGTTATTCAAAAGCCATCTAGATATGGTTCTGGGCAATGGGCTTTAGGTGGCCCCACTTGGCCGGTGTGGGGTGGGACTAGATCTTCCAGACTGCACTGTTCTGTGATTTTGAGTCTTTGAAATACTTTTAGGCTTCCTCTATGAACATTCTCAGTAGCTTCCTCTTTTCTCAGGCTCTGTCAGTGAGCCAGTCCCTGGAAAACCCCACCATGCAGTCACAGTGCTACTAGGGGGCTTAGCTAAAAACGCTCTGAACAACATAAAGGCCAACTTCAAAACTACCTCCAGCTGCCAGCCTTCACATCCCTTCTCAGCCTAGACTATTTTTGTCCAAGCTCTTGCTAAGGCTTGCCCTCCTGAAGGTCAAGCATCACATTATGAATCAATTATCAGTGCCCTTTTGACTCCTTCACCTCAATTGCCTACATTGCAACCAGAAGGCTTGTAGGGGCTGGTCAAAAGGTGTCCCAGCGAGGAGCTGTAGCGTGCTGCATGGGTGCCTATCTGTTGTAACCCAACAGTTTGGGAGCATTTGCTGAACATCCCCATGACTGCTTTGATCAGGCCACATCAGTTTCGTTAGCTGTCCTTCAGTGGAGATGCGAGAGGGAAGGTGAGAATGAAAAATGTCAAGTTCACGAGGGAACGCAGGACGGTGCCCTTGGCAAAACAGGAGGTGGTTCAGTGGCAAGGCTTGGCAGAAGAAATAGGGCTGTATTTTAAATGCATTTTCTCCTGCTGAGATCTGTTTCCTTCCGCTTGTTAACTAAGAGCAAGAGAAAGAATAAGGCTGCTAGTGCATACACACAATACGTACTCTCAGTTTAACCTTCTTAATTTAGTTTAATAGTGCCCCTGCAGTTGCGTGATGTCCAGCATGTTTCAGGTGTGTCTGTGCTGAAGCGCCTGATGCTATCAGCAATGAACATGGCACTCTAATTCTGCCCTACTTTGAGTTTGTAGAGGAAAAAAAAAAACATCTCAATTTTCTGTTATTGTTTTTTTTTTGTTTGTTTGTTTTGTCCTAGCTAAACTATTTCTTCACTCCTTATTGCATTTCTGATATCATATTGGTTTCTTTTGGCTTCCAATTACTTGCCTTCAAGGCTAAGTGAAGAACTCAATTTCAGTTCAACTTGCGCGTTGTGGCTCATTATCCAAAACTCATCTTGGATTTTGTTTCGCTCTCTGCTCTTGAATTACAGCGGGCCCAATCCCACCTCCCTGTAAGGCATTTTTACATCATCTCTTCTAGACAAGACAAATTCCCTGCAATCCCTGGCAGTACCTGTGCCCCCTCTAACTTGCATTAAGTGGAGTCACTAGCCCTTGCCACATATTAGTCATTCCCTCTTCTTTATCCAGGATGGGCTTGTTGGTGGGACAGACCCCAGAGAGTGCACTGTACTTTCCAAAACTAAGCAAATGAGTCAGCAGACCCTGCATAGACAAAGTGGGTCTGGGTTGTCTCTATCATCTAGCATATATAGGTCAGTGTGCATCAGTCGGTGACTTGGGAAGATCTTCAGGAGCTTCTGTAGAACCTCTACAGCTGTCCTCCAGCTGTAGGAAACTCCTCCAGATTACCTAGAAGGAGCAGTGGAAAGAAGTTCTTTACTTTTTATACATTTACTGGGTGTGCCTCAATGTTAGCACCCTTCTCAACAGGTACCACAAGAGGGGTTTTTACACCAAAGGTATTCGATACCTTATAAGCCCTCAGGTTGACCCAGCTTTCATTTTGGCCTGCATATGGGCTCTGAAGCAATAAAACAAAACACGTTACAGTAATACTAAGCACAATAACGTCCATCTGTCTGTAGGCTGATTTTAATCTTTAGCTCCAGCTAGGAACACGGATCTGCAGCAACTTTAAGGCCTTAATTCAAGGAAATTTGATTGATTCCTCAGAACACTCTCAAACCTGCCTTGTGCTTTCCACCAACCAGCATATTTCTGTCACAGCCCTCTTTCTGGTGACTCCTCCATTCCTTTACTGGGCCACATCCTTTGAAGATGCTCAGCTGTCGGATCACCCCGGAGTTCCTGGAAGTATAAAATGGACATTAGTCCATTTTATGGTACAGAGTAAGTGCAGAAATGAGCTGTTGATGGTTCGCTTATGGTAAGAACATCATGGCCATGCTGCTTGAAGTGCTGGCTGCTGAAGCACAGAGCCGTGGCTTTGGGCAATGAAATTGCACTGGTAGGGCACTGCAGACCCTGGCCCTATGCAAGGAGAGGCCACAAAGGGGCCCCAGGGCTGCGTGTTCCTGCTTTTGTTCTCTTCAGTGCTCATTTTCCCTTCTTTTTGGAACTGCTTGCACAGTCCTCCCACATTCACACTTGCATTTAGCTTGGTTGGTCACTTTGGTTGGTTCCACATTTCTTCTGTGACCTGTGGCTAAGGGGTGCCCTGGTGTCTGATCGCTTAGATTTTGCAAGTGCCTGTCTTGCCCCATATTTTTTTTTCCTTCAAAAGCATTTTTTTTTCCATTCATCCTCATATCACAGTCACGCTCTACAAACACAGTTTCAAACGTTGCCTGCGTGCATTCAGGTGGAAATTTGCCATTTGCTCTGCAGGACTTTATTTCTTGGAAAATGTATGTTTTTATCCAGCTACTGCCTTATATTTTGACTTCTCATTTTGCATTAAAGCCTGTTAAGAGCACAGTATAGTCTCCACCACTGATCTCGATCTTAAATTATTATTTCATTTATCAGGGACTAATATCCTAAGGTCTGTCTCTTGACGTATTGCTTGATGGACAGGTCTTTTTTTCTTGCATGGGACATGTTTACCCCAGCCTGGGCTGCAATTCAACCTGCTTAGGTGCACTTCAAGCACAAGTATTTTGCAGATTTTTGTATTTCATCCAGAAAGGAGAGAACATCCCATTAGTTTCACAGAGAGAGAGACTATGATTCACAGAGATGAGAGACTATGACTATGAGAGACAAAGTTAATGATACTTTTCTTTAGCATTTAGAGTATCATGACTTCTTTTTATTTATTTTATTTTCATGTTGTTTCTGGCTTCCTTTCTTCCTTCTTAGGTAAACTTCCAGGAAGTCTCCTCATTGCAGCACCTACATCACATCTTCAGCATCCCTTTTCTTTGACTTTTTTGTTGATGATGATGATGTATAGGGATGTGGAGAAGGGATTATCCAGGGATGTGGAGAAGGCAGGCAGGAAAGAGCTTGCTACCCATTTCTGACAGGGCATGCAGGGAAGGTTATAGGTGAGATAAGAACTGTTCTTATGCTGGAGGGAGCTTATGTGAGAAAAAGGCCTGGAGAAGACAAAAGCAAGAGCATGGTAAGCCTAGCTGGGATATGTCCACGAAAAAAAAAGCAAAGGGTAAAAGCAAAGACGTAACTGCTGGTTGTCTTTTTTCCTTTGTTTCTAGCCTTGGTACATACCTGCATATTCTAAAAATATGTGTTTGTATATGCATGTATATATGAATGATAGGGAAGATAAAGAATTGAGCAGAAGAAAGGCAGAACACATGTTTGTAATCTTCATTTTGTGTTTTTTGAACTCCTGAGTACACATGCACAGGGATTTATTAGACCTGGAGTCAGCTCGAACCACTAATCTCAAAGCAAGTGTAAATATTGAACCATTCATTGGACTTCTACAAGCTGTTTTACATACTCATGTTTGGTCAAGATAGAAAAGACCTGTTAGTCCTTATCATGTTGAATGTGGATGTACTTATATATACGGAGTGTGAATTCACTCATGCACATTTTCCGTAAGTTTTATTTAATATGTAAGGACTAGTCCTCACCTGGTAGAAATCATCTGATCCCCACTTAAATTGCAGACCCAAATCCATGAATATAGCAATTTCCTTGGACTGAGCAGAGTTGCAATGCTATTGAATTCAGTAAATAGCTTACAACAAGCATATATTTCCTGGCTAGCAGACAGATGTGTGTATACATATGTACATTTATATATATATGTATATGCATTTTACATATCTGTATGTGTTACTGGGTGGACTCACAGACAGGAACCACAGCAGACCTGTCCAACACCGAGACACTAGATCCAACACTGGGATGCGGTAGATTTGCTGAAAAATGTGATTGCCCCCTTGAGTGCTAGCACTCAATAACCAAACAGAATTTTGTTAAATTAATAAGGTGTAACAAGCAGAGATAAAGCATGCAGTGATAAACAAACATGGGATGGAGTGAGCAGGCAGTGAAGCGAGTGATAGACAGGGCATAAAATAAAGATGGTCAGTGAGGATTGCTGGTGCCCAGTGGCTCAAGGAATAAGTAACGATATTTGCAATAAAAGCATTCATGTTGGACACCTGGAGCTACCAGGACAGCGAAAGACAAATTCATAAACGCAGAGCTCAAAGGCGAAGGGAGGATAATGATGCTGAAGCTGTGGTCTTGCTGGGGCTCTTCAGATGTTCATCAAGGCAAGGTGGTACCACAGAAACAGATGCTTGTCCTGGGTCACATGAAGCAGCTTAGCAAAAAGGGGATTTAAAAAAAAAATGCTTGCTGCTTGCAGTGCTTCATCACAGCAGGTTTGTGTGAAAAGCTTATT